GATTCAGAGATCGGCTCAAAATTCCTATACCAGCGGAACTACTTGTGGTCAGTAATACTGGCTTATTACTCGGTTTGGATCTATTCATTTTGTTTCGTTCCGTTAGTTGAAAAATGATTCTTTATCTTTCCTTTTTCTCTAGGTTGTTGTTGGTACTGCAATTTCATACGGAGCAGCAATCAACAAAAACTTTGGAGTATCAATTTTAGGAAAGATACCCAAGGGGTAAGCTTGTTGAACAAAAAGAAGTTAAAAAAAAAATCCTTATACTACCCCATTTCCTTCTTTTTAGGCTTAAATTGTAGAAACATCATTGCTCTCCAAAAAGCGGCGTGTGTTAGTTTAGGTTTCAGCTTCTGAAACTCAGAAAAGCGTGTTAATAGCCCTACTTGGCCGATTTTGGCCCGTTCTCTTCTAATTAAGAGCTATTCAAAGTCCTTTCGCATTCAATTTTGCCGCTTCATTGATTGTGAATAATCAATGATGTCCAGGCATTCTGCGCGATGAAAAAGTTTAGAAAACAATAATCAACTTTTAAAAAGAAATTAAATAAGTCACGGAAACTATTATCTATAAGCATTAGTAAAATACTTGCAAAACGAGGTCAGCAGATATTATACTCCACTATATATAAGCGAAAGCGTGGTCCCTAATTTATTTGAAAATCTTTCTTCATCCATCACAAACTTCCGAATCATATATTTCTAATTAAAGAAAAAAACCGGGAAAAGAGTAACCACAATACTTTAAATTTTTTCAATTTCAGACTTCCTCCTTTAAGCGTACCTTCATTGTCTCTGATGTCGAATATCTTCTCAGATGCCTTTGTTATCGCAGTGGTTATATTTGCTACAAACATTTCGATATCTAAGATGTTTGCAAAGAAAGGTGGCTATTCCGTGGATCCCAACCAGGTTTGATAATAAAAACAAAACCTAAATAGTTTCGCTCGGCCAAGAGGGCCTGGGTTATGGAAGAAAAAACATTCGTTTAGAGGTCAACCGCGCTGCGCAGCAAGCAACAAGGAAGAGAAGTTCTCGGCTACATCCTGGCACTTCAAACTAAAACTGGAGCAAAAAATCCGGCAACTTAGGGATTTCTCCTGGTGTATTTCTTCCGATGCCTCTGTTAAACAGTTTAGTCAATAGATCACGCTGTTAGAGGCGATTCTGTAATGATAATGGACGAACCTTACAAGAGATTTACCGAATTTAGTTATTTTAGATTGTTACTCTTTTCTCACGAGACATTGATTTGATTTATTTTAGGAATTAATAGCGTATGGTGCTGGTAATTTCGTGGGCTCATTCTTTTCTTGTTTTCCGATATGTAACGCTTTGGCGCGGTCAGTGGTCCAGGAGAATCTTGCCAACACGCAGGTAATGTTAACCAGTGGCACAAAAGCCATTGTCGCTTTTGAAATAGGACGCGTTTGTGCGTAGGTTGTTTATATGGCGCGCCAGCTAATGATGACAAGTTAGGTAACTGTCCTTGAGCTAACCGGGGTCGCCTGATCATTGGTTACCCTTGAGCCTGCGAGCAAACTCTCCAAATAGGGGAGGTCGCGAAAAGTCACGTGAGAGCTTGCTCTCAAGCTACATTCAAAGCAGGAGTAAATCAAACTATAATGAACCAAAACCACCGTAGTATTTCCGTTTGTAGTGTGAGGTCTTAATTAACTTGGACGCCTAGTTCATCAGGTTGCAATCACAACATCCTTAAACGTTCCTGTTCTTCTCAAATGAGACAGGTCTGTAAACTGATGTTTCCTCCGTATGTTCTATTTCGCAGCTTTGCAGTATAGTCGTGAATGCGCTGGTTCTTCTTGTGCTGCTGTTTCTTGCTCCGCTTTTCTTTCACCTTCCAAAGGTAAAAACAACAGAGTCCGGAAGGTAGGGTAAGGTATCCAGACGGCTGCTTAACTGACCAAATCCCACCCTCTCCCCCCCTGCACATAAACACGTGTAACATGCCTAAACTGTGCCCGAGATCCACCCAACTCAGGAGTTTGCCCCCCAAACACTTCTAGGAAATTTGTGGCCCGAGACCCATTTCAAATTTAGGTCTTAGAGCTTGCAAACCACAGAGATTGATCCTAATTTAGTTCATCAAATTAGGGTTTTCCGCTTTTCTTCAAAACTCCCAAATGCTGACCTTTAATAAGCGATTTCGTTCAGGCTCAAAACTTTCCCTGCAATTTTAGGAATGAGTGTCAGCTATAAGAAAAGGAATTTTGTCTAACGCTTGCGACTCAACGTAAAACTAAGGCCTAACTCTTTCTCATGTCTTCTCTCCTACTCTCCACACTAGGCCATTTTAGCCTCTGTTGTGATCGCTAACCTTATTGGACTTCTGAAGCAGTTTTCCAGGTTAAGAGATTTGTGGAAAATATACAAAACGGACGCGGTAAGTTTTGAAATAAAAAATGTAGAACATGAAAGTCGAAGATCACTTGCGACTCATTATGATTGTACCATAGCGCACTGACTAAGAGCGCACTTCGCACTGTGAGCGGAATAGGCCCCAACTAAATACCCTCGATAAGCACTCTATAGGCTATCCTGGGTGCCAGAGGGTTTTTTTTGTTAGCCGGGCACGGTTTATCTCATCCTAGGTATTTCGAGAACGGAGTAGACGGACCAAAGCCATGGTAGTCATAGGTGCAGCGCAGTAGGGGTACAATCAGCCGACTTCAGAGAGACCTTTAGATTCTAAAACGAGTACGATTACGAGTACGAGATTTTCTCAGTACTATGAAAAGAAGTGCTCGCGCGTGAACCAGCGTCATTTTGGCGGGAAAACGTGTTAGTCATCGTCATTCTACTACGAATTTTAGCGAGAATGTCGTGGTAGCGGAAGAAAGTTATAAAGTGTTAGAGGCTTAATCAATTTGCGGCCGAGGTATGGCTTCATCTGGTTCAATAAAGATAGCAATGGTTTATTTGTGGCGAAAAGGAAGTACAACGAGGCTTTCCCGGGGTGTCTATTATTTGCGTTCTCGTCGTAGAATGCGTACTATGAGCATACTACAAGCGTGCTGTGAGAGTACAGTGAGCCTACTCAGGGTGTGACTAGCGTGCTATGAGGGTACAATAGCGCGGTACGATCGTACTATAACCACACTGAGTGAGAACAATAAGCGTATAACAAAACTGTGTATACGCTGCTCTGAAATGTATAGTGTGTTTAATGAGGATTTAGTGGCCATTGAACTGTAGTTTTAGTGATTCTTTGTCCCGTTTTTGATTTGCAGGTTGTGTGGTTTATAACATGTTTTGGAGTCATCTTGATGGGAGTTGATTTAGGACTTGGAATAGGAGTGATTAGCGCACTGTTTGCCGTTGTTATAACTCTTTCAAGGTGAAACAATTTCCTTAAAACCTTCTCATAATCCATTTACACAAACAAACTGAACAAACAAGCTGTTAGGACAGAAGTTAGTGGACATTCAGTCAGTTATTTGAGATCAGGTCACTGAAATCATGAGTCAATTAATTGTTCAGTCAGAATGCACATCTTTCATAATAATAGTCTGTTTGTGAGACAGTGTAGTCATAACCTGAGAAGCAAACCTTTCCACTTGGTTCACATTGTGCAAAAGTTGGGAGGAATTTTTCTAGCCCTTCACTGGCCTCGCTTTGCTCCAAAAAAGGAGGAGGCGAAATCTCGGACCCCTTCCCTATATCTGACACGGAATTTTTAATCTGAAGCTTAGTTCCGTTTTTTGTTCTCAGGTCAAAATATTCCGTTCTTGGACAAGTAAGGGGAACAGAGCTGTACCGTGATGTAAAAGGATGTCATCTGGTATGTTTTTAAGGACAATAGCGGGCATCCTTTGCGCATTAGATCTTAGGAGACCGAGAACGGACTTATTAGACATGTTTCTTTCTTAGCTATCTTCAATTACTCTGCGGATCAATCCTTAATGTAATGTGTGCACCAATCAGACCTCAAACAAAGCATCAAGGCCGCGGGTGTCAAACACATAAAAACATGTAACGAGTTGATTGAAAAAAAAAACTGACTAACTCTTTGAATCACCTATTGTCCATAATATTATGAAATTTATTAAATCCAAAATACTGACATCTTTTTACAGCCAATGCGCATTACAAACGCACTCGTCGCGTTCATAGGTGGAATAATACGCCACCGAAATCAGTAGGGTAAAGACTAAGACTACACTAACCGTCTTATCTCATTAGGCCTTCGAGGTACCTGGAGTGAAGGTGCTCAGATTTGAGTCCTCTTTGTACTTTGGAAATGTGGAGCGCTTTAGAAGTGCACTTATTGCCGTCGTTGGCCGAGATCCGGGTGTTCAACAACACACGCGTAAAGAGGTAAAACTCCAGTCAGGAGACAAAGCTGAGCTACTGGAAAATGAGCAGGAGGACGACTTCAGCGATAACCAAGAGATTCCAAACGGAGTAAGGAACAGTTTTTTTAGCAGTTCATTCACTATATTACAATTTAATGACAGACAAAGTGACAATACGGAGTTGTTCTATATGTTTATGCTATGAAAGTAAAAACGAAACACAACCCAGTTGAGGATGTTTTTCAAGTGTTGAAGACTAGACTGCGTAGATGCGGTAACTAGCGAGTGCCGAGGCGGAGTCCGAAGGGATTTGGGCTCTCCCCCACCCTCACATCATAGACAATACGTTATTTGTTACCTTCTCAAAAAGCGCAACACGGCGTTTCGACATTGTTACGACATTGTTGCGAATGGTTACACATTGTTCCAATATCACAACGCTGTGTTGTTGCTAAAAATCGTCCTTGCGAATCTTCTCGTGTAACATCGGCCTTTAGCCTGCGTGGCAGTCGCAGGTTTTGTTGGGGTCAAAGGGAGAAATTTTTAGGACAAGCGCGTGCTCGCGCAGACTATTTCGAAGTAATGTGAGTAACCGGAGAGTGTGTTCTATTTTAAAAACAGAAACTGGTATCTGTGCCAAACGGTGTTCACAAACATATGGAAGTTGAGTTGGAGGAGCCAGAAGAACGCGTTCATGCTGTTGTAATAGATGGAAGCAGTTTTACCTTCATTGATTCTGTAGGGCTACACGCACTTCCAGCGGTGAGTGTTAGAGTGTATTTCCTTGAATACTTGATGTCCACCTTAATATTTCTCAGGTTGCGGACTAACTACGGGATATACAACACTGCACCATTTCTGTTGCGTTTCTGAACACGCGGCACGCGGTGACAAGTTTATACCGGAAGATATATACCGTAAATTTACGAAAATAAGCCCCGGGTTTGTTTGCGTTACGAGTTCGGGGGATGGGGGGGAGGGGGGTTATATTTGAAGGGGCTTATTTTCGGAATTTTACGGTATCTCAAGTGATTGCTATACTGTTCACGGTGTTTTGGTGCTGCCTGTTTTAAAAACGAGGTACATACATACCGTAAATGTATTAATTTATTTGAAGGCGACGATTATTGGAGCATTAAAGGTATATATGCACTAAGTTTCTGCGTACCTTGTAGCCGGTTAGGCAGAACTGTAGTAAATGTTGTCCGACACTCTACAGTTTAGCCTTTACATCGCTTCGTTCGTTAAGCAGCCTTCTCTCAAATAGGTACAGTTAGTTGTTTGTACTTATTTTAAGATAAGCGAATGTCGAGTTGACCGTAATTTTACTACTTGTTGCTATGTTAGACTTCTCTTCTGCCGATCAAGGATTCCCTATTCCGTCTAATTATTAGTCCGTCTTATATATTCTTTAAGGGCCCCGCTTATTGCAGGGCGGCGAAATATTAGTCCATAGACTCTATCAAGTGTTTTCCTCCACGGAAATCTTTAGTAAAAGGCGAAACATTTATACGTGATGAAGGAAAACCAGAGTTATCTCAAACTGCCGACACCAAACAGTTATGTTTGCCACGATGTGTCAACGATTATGGGACAAAATAATTACGCATGCGCATAGCCTTATACGTGTCCTTCGTGAGAACCAACCCATGTTCTCAAGTGTTATTTCAAAAATTTTGATATTAATACTTGCCAAAACTATATGGTTATATGTTTACTGTCTCTGCTATGATAAGCCTGTGGCTTTTTATGTCACCACAACCTAATCTGTCAGCTTCCTCACTAGTTGTTTGCTTTTCTGTTTTCAGCTGATTGCCGAGTTTAAAAAGGCCGGAGTTCTTATTTACTTGGCTGGCTGTTCATGTGAGTTATTAATCTTAAGCGAATTAATCAGGCAAATCATCGAAGCGGCTTTAACAAGAGAGGTTTGAAACCAAACTGCATGTAATCATTTTAGTAATCACAACCGTAGCTCGAGAGTAAGCTCGAAGTTAGGTTGTGCTCTTGTTCCGTTTCCTTCCTTGTCCCTAGCTTTCCCCGCACCAATCTCCCGTGAACTCGCTCGCAGGCTGTCACAAAGGACTACGACGCTTCGTGCTTATTTACTGCATGTCTAAGTGCTTCCTCGGATAAAAAGAAACCGTTTAGGTCAGACAAAAAGTACCATGAAGTTTTTTACCAAGTTCATATGTTCTGGATTATTAACAGCTGCCAAAGTCTATTTAAAGAGCGAAAGTTTTGAATCAGTCTTCAGGTCGTAAGGTCGCTAATGCTATTGACGTATGTTAGGGAGCAAGCTCGCCGACACGCTCCTCGCTCAGAGAGAGCAGCGAGGAAAGACTTCTGTTTTTGCAGCCTAAATCAAAAGGTCTTAATTTATTGTTTTAATTCTTTATCGTATTCTCCCTTTGCAGCGATTATAACTAAAAGGCTTGGCAGTTCATCTGGGAAGGCTGCAATCTCAGCAATCGACCATCACGTGATGTTCCCTTCAATACATGACGCTGTTATATCAGCCGTGCGGTCACGTGATTTTGCGGTGAGAAATAACTTCAGTGGATCATAAATGTTACAGCGATAGCCACACATGCGCAATTGACAAAAGCATATTCAATATTCTTTTATTTTCTTCTTGCAGATTTGGAGCACAGAAGACGTTGAAAAAGAGACAGTTTTATAACAATTTCGAGGCATAAAGGGCTTATCAGCATACAGATTATGATAAGCATTCAGAGCATAGATACCGCTACAGAGAATGGTAGCTGATAATGGTGGATTTGGCTTTTATAAAACGCAGTCAAATGAATCAAAAATGAACATTAGTTGGTGGAGGATGTTTCCGAAATCGATTGAAAGTTGTTTCATTTTTGATTTTGTAAGAATGCTAGAGGATGATTCAACGGTTTCTTTTTCCTCGCGATGTCCCTGGCCGCAGATTATTCACGTACAATAATGTCAAGGAAGCTGGTTTTTTCTGAGACAGTTTTGAACTGTTTTATTCATGCTTAAGGTGCAAAGTTTATCCCTTATACTGTTATATATATTTGTTAATACTGCGTTATATTTTAGCATACATTGAAGAATTTCGTACATTTACAAATGAAATAAATGTTCGGTTTAACGGACACCGTTTTCAAAACTGTGAAGTCCACTTATCGACAGGAATTGATTTGTGTAGTTTATATTTAGAAGAGGGGGAGGGGGTGGGGCAATGGTGGTCTCATTACGAGCTCACGAACAATAATTTTGCGTCTCACTAGTCACGAAACAACGTTTTCACGCTTCTCAAAAAGAGAGGTTGTAAAAATGTCAAAAACGTTACGTTAGTCCCATTTTGTAAAACAGAGTGCTTCGCATTATATTTAAGTTAACTAGAATTTTGCGAACCTTATGAAAAACACTGCGCGGCTATAAATTCCCTAGGGAAGACAGGTGTAGGTGGGTCTAAGCGCACTTAAGTGTGAAGCTACATCAGAAAGACTCGAAAGTGAAGTTAAATTAAGCCACCAGATTATAGTTAAGGTCGTTTGGCCAAGTTAACGATTTATTTTCTTCAACTGATTGTCAATGCACGTGGAAACAATCGAGGATTTTGACAGTTCAGGTTTCCAGGAGTGCACTTCAATCACGATTCACAGAACAGTTTTTCAGCTCATCACGATACACGGACACCAAAAATAGTCGATCACGGCATCACGAAAATAAGCTTGCCCCCACTCCCTCTTAGAATAGTGAAACTTCATCATAACAGTGGACGTACCCCGCTTTTACATACCTGCACAAAATCCTGCCGTATTAAGCTGTATTAAATCTTCCAAACCTTCCTTTTTTGTCCCAACTCTTAGGCTTCCACTCAATACAAGTTCTAGTGCAGAAAAAAACGGCCTTGAGGCTCTGTGGAGAACACGAGAGTATCAGATCTTCTTCATTTTCAAAATTCGCAAGGTCCTAATATCCAAACCTTTTATGTTTTAGAAGAGAGTAAAACAAAAAAGAATAATAATAACTGGTAGTATTGGACTGGGGAAACCGGCAGAAATAAAAGGTCCAACCACTTTAAAACTTCTTATGTTATAATTTCGCTGAGCGGGCCTTGTGTCCGGGTCCATGAAGCTGTTTATAGCATAGTTCCCTCATAACAGGTGTATCATCGGAGTCGGTGAAAATTTCGCAAGTGACCACCATACCTGAAAATCTTATGCAGACATAAATTTATATGCACCTGTTGATAGAAGTGCTTCAACTGAAGATTTTTGCATTTTTATCTTAGACAAGACTAGTGGAAGAAGGAAAAACTGAAATACGAGGCCTCATCGTCGAAACCGGTGTATTTTAAATTTGATTTTTGGCTCAGCTCGGCCTAGAGCACATAGCTGATGTTTCTTTGTGGCGTGATGAAGAAAACTACATTTATGGTGAAAAACCATAAAAATAAGGGGCGAACTCCGATCGTTTCAATCAGCGGAATAGTCTGCGTAGCAGGTGCTGAAAGGGGTATTTAGGCGCCAAGCCGAAACGCAAGTAAGTTCACCTGTTTCTTGCTCCTTAATGAATTATTTAAAAAGGTACAATTTCATAACATTGTTTTGTTTTGTTTTGTTTTTTTTTTACCAACTAATTCAAAAAGCAAAACAGTCACTGTGTTCTTCATGATTTTGTACTGAATCTTTTTCTTCTCAGAGGACCTCTTGTTTACGTCTACATACCGTAGGTACTCACTTCGAGGAAGAACAGCTGATATTTTTGCGACCTGTCACCTGAGAGAAAAAAGTGCGTGGATACTGTTTTAAAAGTTAATCGTAAACTAAACAGCATTAAGGCACAGGTGGAACGTTATTCTAAAGTGAGCCAAATGAAGATAACCACAGATCAAAGACAAGTCTCGGTAAAACAGATATAAATTTATGATGAAGATCACCATCCCGCTTGCGTCATTTTAGGTGTTTGCAGACCACACGAGCATCATCAGCGACTGAAAAGGCACATCAGAGAAAAACTCTCCCAAAAATTTACGACGTTCAACCAAGGATTGTAGTAGCCATGTCTTTAACAGACTTTGATCTTTCGGAAGTTCAGACTGCGAGGAATCGTCGACCGCGGCGTCGCTTCAGGATAAATTTATCCCGCCATGTTTACAACGAGCAAGAGTTCACGGAATCGTTTATAAAGCGCGATGATTATGTCTCTAGTTCTGAGATCGACGATTCGTCGTTCGCAAAATCTTTTAAGAGACATTTGTTCCCAACCAGATGTACTTGTAAAGATGTTTTACGATCTTGGTTCCCGATTGTTGAATGGTTGCCTACATATAAACTGCGGCAAGACATGGCCCACGACATAGCAGGCGGCCTAACCGTTGCTATCATGCATATTCCACAAGGTAAAAGGCCAGTACATGCTGTTTGAAGGTTGCTTGTGTCGACAATAGTTTAGGAAAGTGACGGGAATTCGTCATTTTTTTGTTTCTCTTTACTTATTCTAATCATGGCACTGGTCCAGGGGTAGAGAGGATGGGTGGGGTGAAGAGAGAGAGAGAGGGGTGGCGGGTATAGCATGGTGGAAAATGAGTGCTGTTATTATGAACAATGCATTTTAGGACTATTACTAAATATAAAACAGTAAAACACAGCTTGAACTTGTAAAAATGAGTATTGGATTGGATTTTTCTCATGGTGAGAGGCTTGGAACATTTTCTTTGCAAATTGAGGGTACTCATGGGTATTGTATAGTGAGGGAGACCACTGAAACCCTTTTCCAGCCAAGTACAGGAGTGGATTGACTCCAATAAGCATTTCTCAGAGGATGACATGGTGCGCACTGCCTAACCAAGCCATCTGGAGATGCCACAGTTGACTGCTCTTCAGTCGACTGATGATGATGATGATGATGATGGGTATATTCGTGTCAGGGAGGTGTGATTTAGGGCAGATTCTTTTACAAAAAAGGTCCTATTAGGCCATAAGCAGATTTAGAGGAAGTATAAGAGTCCAGAACCCCCATCTAAAAGAATTCCGTTGTGAATAAACTTCTTGTAATCATCCACCATTTTTTGATAAGCATCGCAACTGTTTTGAGGGTGCATAGATAGTAAAATGAAAGAGACGTTGTACTTTTCATTGTATTTGCTATGTAAGATATATTCTCATCGGATTTTTATTTTCTTTATGTTATATTTTTTCTTCTATTTTCCTGTTTCAGGTCTGGCTTATGCAATGCTGGCATCACTCCCTGCTGTGACGGGCCTGTACACAGCATTTGTTCCTATTCTTGTTTACATGGCAATGGGAACTTCCAGACATTTATCTCTAGGTATCTTAAACTATTTCTTCCGGCACCCCTCAAGGTTTAACATCATCGGTGTATTGTCTGTTCTTTAACGTTAACTAAAAAAGGGTTGTCAAAGGCTACATCTCTTTCAAAACAGTGAACTATTCCTTAGAACTAAGCAACACAGCTCATAATGAGATGCAAGATTTTTACTAGTTAGACTAGTGTCTTAGGGTAAGCCAATGATAAATAGTGTACCACTAAATTGAGTAAGCACCTGAGGTGCTTCATGAGATATGCATGAGGAAAGTTATTTTTACCAGCCATAATGCATCAGTCAATTCCACCTGCGCCCACCCCTAGGACTGACATGGCGGGCAAATGCCACACAGTGGCCCAGAGGGGGAGGGGGGGGGGTAGTGGTTGGGAGCAGGTGGAATTGACTGATGCATAAAGAACAAGTGATACAATTATTATTAACTATCCCAACTATAACATAAACAAGGATTACTATTGTATCAGTAATTTCTTAACTGTGATGGTGATTTAACCTACTACAAGTAAAAACTCCACCAAGCAATAATTAATAAGCAGTCACCTGATGTTGCATCACATGTTGCTGATTTAAGGTGGCATGCTCCATTTTGCTATAGTGAGTTGTAAATTTGTGTAAGTTTTAAGTCACTATTAAAAAGGGCTCAAAGAATGAAAAAGCATTGGATTGTTTCAGAAAATATCTATATAGGTTATTAGCGGAGTGGGAGGGTGCAGAGGTATGGATAGAATTTAAATAACCATATTTTTCTGTTGACACCTTTCTTGCAGGCACCTTTGCTGTTGTATGCTTGATGGTAGGACATGTTGTGGAAAGAGAAGTGGAGCAGTCAATATCACCCTCTGCTGCCCCACCCCAAAGCACTACACAACTACCAAATACATCATCAGGAGCTGGTCTCTTGCTCAATTCAATTTACAAACAGGAATCAAATAACTCTTTTCCAAGTCAGCAGGATTTGTTGGATGAAAAGAAGCTGGAAGTTGCTGTGGCTCTTTCATTGCTTGTTGGTATTTTTCAGGTTGGTAGTGATAATCAAGCAGCTGCTTTTGTATCATTTTGTACTGACACATCTAAACTGTGAGCTTCTCCATTTGGCACCAGCCTGCAGTACAAGTTTTTGACAGTTGAGGAAGGTGTAACATTCAACATGTCTCTGGTGGGATTCGAATCCATGACAAAGACTGTACTAGATGCAAACTTTATCTCACGGGGCCTGAGCACAGGCTCTCATAGAGAGCAAG